GAGGCATATAGGACTCCAACTAGCCTTGATCAAAAAAAATCTACACATAGGCATATAATAGGTAGGATTCCAGAAACCCAACAGAAGAACAAAATTCTACAAGCAGTGAGAGAAAAGAAACAAATCATGTACAAAGGAAAGCCCAAAGGAATCATAGCAGACTTCTCAACACAAACCCTCAAGGCAAGAAGAGCTTGGAGTGATGTATTTCAAGCCCTAAAGGAAAACAGCCTCAAATCCAGTTTGATGTACCCTGCAAAACTATCTTACAAAATTGATGGAGAAATAAGATACTTCCATGATAAAGAGCACCTCAGGAACTTCATGAATACCAAACCAACACTCCAAAAAATTTTAGACAATATCTCAGGAAAGGACAATGAGGATTACAACCCAGGAATCCCAGCAGAATGAGTCCATTAGGTGTGACAAATTAAACGCAAAGGGGGAGAATCCAACAAAAAGAAAAAGTCATGACAAGGCTTTTAAAACCTTTAACTTAATCTTCCTAATGAGTGTATAATATGACCCTCTTATTGTACTCATTAGTATTTTTCTGGTTCTAGTGTTGCACACCTTTCCTTGTGCTGTACTGGCTATTTATCACCTTCTTGTGTCTACTTTTTGACTGGGTTGTCTATTAATGAGCTGTAAGAGTTCTTTATATATTCTAGTCATAGGTTATATGCATTGTAAATATGGTCTGTTTAAGGACTACTTTTCATTTTAACGATGTCATTTAAAGTTCTAAATTTTGACAGAATCTCATTTATCAATTTTTTTCTTTTATACATCATGTTTTTTCTATCCTAGGAAATTCTTGCCTACCCTAAATTCATAAACATTTTCCCTTATAATTTCTTCTTGAAGTTTTATAGTTTTAGTCTTTCATATTAAGGTTCATAGATCCTTTCAAGTTATTTTTATGTACGGAAATAAAGGGTTGAGGTTAATGTTTTTATATACAGATACTAGGTATTCTAGTGCCATTTGCTGAAAACGCTATCTTTTCCTCTGCTCTTGAATTGAGTTTATATTCTATAAATTGTTAATGTTGAATAATCTTTCAAAAATCAGTGGACCATATATGTATGGTTCTATTTCTAGATTCTCTGTTTTATTCAAATGATCTATATGTCTTTCCTTATGCCAACATTGCCTTGATTACTGTAGCTTTAGAGGAAGTTTTAAAATTATGTAATGTCTTCCAACACTGTTTTTTTTTCTTTTCACTTTTCTAGGTCCTTTGTACTCCTACATAACTTTTAAACTTCAATATCCGATTCTTCATTTATAGCAAGTATACATAGATCTGAATTTTTTTTTTTTTTTTTTTCTAGGTCCTTTCTACTCCTACGTAACTTTTAAATTTCAATATCCAATTCTTCATTTATAGCAAGTATACATAGATCTGAATTTTTTTTTTTTTTTAGTTCTTTTACTGGTACATTTTAGGTATACAATTCGTTTACATTTATCATTGGGTGTTTGTACCTGTACATGATGTATCTTGGTTATTTTTTTCCCCATTACCTGTGCGCCCTTCACCCTCTCCACCCTTCCCTATTTACATAGATTTCATTTCCATTTTTTTTT